CACCAGTTGGATACATTGTTTCTATTTACAAATGAGGAAATGGGCTTAGAGAATGGAAATAATCTGCCCAATTAGCTCGTGAGACATAGAGTCAAGATTTAAACTAAGATTTGTCTAACTCCAAAGACTATGTAATGTCTTTCCCATTGACTCTCTAATTTTAATCTAATTGTAAAAATGTATTAATATTAATTCAGAAATAAATCCTAAGAATAAGTCTAAGAGCTTTATCTTCCTCACGCTTCTTGGCATAGGTAAGTAATAGTTATGTGGCATTGTTTGTTGTATTGTTTGTGGTCAATTTTTGTTTTCTGTCTTTGCTTACAGAGATTTATGAGATAAAATATTTTAACGGAATACTAATTAAATGGCCTTATTGTTTTAGAATTCAAGAGTAGATATACCATCCTGTTTTGGTCACATTTGGCTTATTAACTGTATAGCATCAGTAGAGATGCCAAGTCTGAATTTGAAATTTTTCAAAGAGCATTTTCAAGCTATGCTTAAGAACAGTGTAGCTACTACCTGTCACTTTGAGTGCTAACTTTGCCATAATGAGATAGTCATAATGAGATAGTCTTGCCAAGAAACAATGGGAAATATGCAGAGACAGTTGTTCATTATGCAGTCTTCTTTCCCTGCCAGGCTGTAGTCCTTTGGCTGACATGATGTATTGATGTCGAAATTTGTGCTGTTTGTGAATGGAGCTTTACAGAATGAAATGGAAGAATGTCTTCCTGACCTCTATATGAAAGACCACTTCCTAGAGTTTGTTAAAGAATGGAATGTTGCATGAAAATTTGACCCCAGTAGTGCTCAAATTGAATCATTCCAAAAGCAATGCCTAATTTGTCTTAGCTTGCTATATCCCTTATGTCATTAGAATGTGAGATCATACCTGTAAGTGTACACAGGTATGTTTCCCATTACAAAGAGTGAAGGAGGTACAAAACTAAGAGTGGATGAAGAATAAAGAGGAAATGATATTTTAATTGTCTTTGAAATATGACCAGTAGATTTTGAGGAGCACCTGAATTCTTTCCCCACAAAGTAGTTAAAGTCATCTTGACTTTTACTAATATTAGCCCAATATACAGGTGAGAAAACTGAAACTTGCAGAGATTAAATGAAATAACTAAGGAAGAGGTGGAGCTGGGAACCTGAATCCTGGTCTTTAGGATACCAGCTGTATTCTCTTAGACATTACACTCTCCTGCCTCACAGAGTAATGATCTAATCAGGAGATTTGAGTGGTGAGGTATGTCAGTATGACAGGAATGGGAAGGACGGGATGGGTAAGAGGACCTGGGGTGGTGGGATGTCTAGTCGGTAGCTGATTGTGAGGGTCTGTAGACTTGGGACTTGTCTTGTTTAGGTAGTCGTTAAAATTGCCTATTGTGGATAAGTTTATGCAAGAAGAATATGTAGGGGCTCTTCTGTAGAGAAGAGTGTGAAGGTTAGAGGCCTGGGAATACTTAAAAGGGGGCAAGCAGAGTAAGAAGAGCCAGAGAAAGAAAATTCAGAGTAAAATGGAAAGTGGTGAATTACAGATAGGAAGGGAATAGTCTTCCCCGCCTAATTTCCTTCATTGCTTCCTCTTCCCTCTTCTTATTTGCCCCCTCCTCTCCAGTTCCCTCCTCTGCACCCTCCTTTTCTATAGGGCGGCACTATTCTAGGTACTGGGAAAATGGCAGTGATTAAATCAGATAAAAATCCCTGCCTTTATAAAATGTATTTTCTAGTTAAGGAAGACACAACAACTAGCAAAATTAGTAAGTCGAATATGTAATATGGTAGATGGTGGTAAGTGCTGTGGAGAGCGCCAGGGTGGGCTGGGGGAGGAGAGTTGGAAATATGGTATGGAAGTCCTTACAGAGACAGTGACACTTGAGTGCAGACCTGAAAGAGGTGAGGGAGTGAGCCATCTTTACGTGGGTGGGAGAGATGGCGGGAAGAGTCCCAACAGAAGGAACAGCGACAGCAAAAACCCCATGCTGGGCACGCCTGGTGGATAAGAACCAGCAAGACGACAAGTGTGGCTAGAGCAGAGTGAGTGAAGGAGAGAGCGTAGTAGAAGATTAAAGCTGAGGACACGGTCCAGTTACTGTGCAGGGCTGTCCAGCCTTTTCGCGTCTCTGTATGACAGTGGAAGAAGAATAGTTGTCTGGAGCCACACATTAGGTATATTAGACATGTAATCACAAAAAAATCTCATAATGTTTAAGTAAGTTTACGATTTTGTGTTGGGCCACATTTATAGCTATTCTGAGCTGCATATGGCCCACTGGCTGCAGGTTGGACTCCCACTGTGAGGATAGAGCCTTGAAAGCTGATGTGGAATCTCTAATTTTACTGTGTGAAATAGGAAGCCATTCATGGAATGTCAGCTGTGTCTAGCACTGCAGGAAAGCACAGCAGGGTAGGGGTCAGTAAAGTGCCCCTGGATTTACGATCTGTTTAACTTGGCAGTTTATTCAGAAGTTGCCATCGTAGGGGATACATGAACAGAAAATAAAAATCTCTGCCATTTTGGTGCTTACTTTCCACTCCAGGAAGGCAACTTGATGCTCTTTCTTTTTAATAGGTAATTATTGGCAAGATGTCAGTGCTACGAATATGTAAAAATGATTCTAAGAGTCTCAAATGGGTGCCTGGCTAGGGAATCCTTGACAATGTATTTTGTGCTTCAGTAGACATTGTCATGTAGTTGCTGAGTAAGTACAACTGTTGGTCACAGAATTTTGAGGAAGGCCATTGATCCCATCTTGTCCCACAGGCCACTTCTCCCTCTTACAGGTAGACAAGTGTCTGAGTTTTCCAAATGTGATTCTCTGTGTGTGATTTCTTGCGCTTTTCATTTTCTGCTTTGTAACCAGCTGGAATCTGAACTTCCTGTGTAGACCATTAAGATATTTTTAGGGCAGGCCCCTAGTTGGCAACAGTTCAACTAACAGGCCCTTAAAGTAACATATTCGCATTCCCCATCTTCACCATAATGACCACACCCCCCAATTCTTTTCTTCCTGTCCCATGTTCTTCTTGGTTTAGTCTTTTTTTCCTCCATAACCCTTTCCCCACTCCCCATTTCCTTTTTGCCTATAATTCAAGGATCCTAACACCATTCCTGCTGTGCCTCAGTGCTTGTGACCCGAAAGACGTGTAGATGCTTGCTAAACACCTGACTTAAAAACTTTCCAAGGAAACACGGGAAATCTGTAGTAACACATGTAAAGTATGTTCAGGTTCTTAGTGAAACAGGCAAATATGAAGCAGCAGTTGGTGTTCAGAAATAAGCTGACTCTTTAGTTTGAAATTTGTATGCTGATGATTTTAGCAAAAAATTTTTTTTTCTTTCTAAAACAATTATTTTAGGATTTGCAGCAAGAAAGTGAATAACCACTATTCTCAGAAATTCTCATATTTTTTTCTCTCTAGAAATTCAGTTTTAGTATTAGCTAGATGTTTTGGGATAATTTCAAGTGAATTTTATTATCTGCCACATCCGTATAGTGATTGTCATATTGAAGTGGTCATGTAATGATTTTCTATTATATTTTCTTGATTTGGATATAATTTTTCATTTACCAAGGTAATGGACAGTCCTCAAGGATGGACTTTTTTCTTCAAAAACAAATATTTTAATTTTACATTTAAATTTTCATTTATTTGAACAGGTGCTATTTTAAGTTAAAAAAAACTCTCTGAAATTAAATTTCTTGGTTGGGGGAGCACTAATTGTATTTTAAATGGTAGTTGTTTATTCATTTGGAAATTACAATTTCAAAATGGAATTTAATCTTCAATTTTTGTAAGGGAAAAGAAAATATAGGGTGAGGCAAAAATAGGTTTACCGTAGTAAGTACATGAAATACAGAGTTCATTCTTGTATGTTATTTATTAATTATTGTAGTATTTTCCATATGAACAACTGTAAATCTACTTTTGCCCTGCCCTATTATGTGGCAAGAAAGTATAGAATTAATGAGATACTGGTTAGCTTTCTGGCTTTGAAGACACACAATTTAAAGAACTATCTACAACCTACGCTATAGTTGTGGATTAATATTTTTAACTTGGTAATGGTTATTTTACTTTTTTCCCCCCATAAGAACTGATGGTAATAAATGTTGTTTTTTCAAAGCAGTAGTCTGCACATCCCTGGCCAACTTTACCTTCTCTTTTTTAAATTTTATTTTCTCTTTTTCTCCCCCGGCCAACTTTAATCACACTCTTCAGTAGCAACTTTGCGCTTGCTTGCTTGTGTTTACTGTTAATAAAGATGCACCGTGTACCTCACTGCCTCAGCTACTACAGACACAGAAGCAGCATATGACCTAACCTGTGGCAAGGAATTCAGAGCCATGAAGAAATACAAACCTAAGACATTAAGTAATTAATTTCCTGAGAAGGATTCTTGTTAGGGGACAGGCCATCAGTGAGCCCTGCAGAATGCTTAGTACTTAGCAAAGCAGAAGAGACCGTTACATGAACGGAGAACAGTATGAGTAAACTCAAAGAGCTGGATAAAAAACAGTATCCTGGGTGGGGTGGTGAGGCAAATAAGTTGGACTCTGCAGTAATTCAGCTGTTTCCTGATTTAATTTTTCTGGTAATTTACTTCCGTGACTCTACACGATAACCTTATATGTTTATTATTTGACCCACCAACTCTAAATAAAACATTTTGACTCTTAGATACAGAAAACATTTTTGCTTATTTATATCACACCCCTCTTTCCTGTGCCCCCTAATATGTGTGTTAATACTTTTTTCCAGGGTTCTTCTTCCTTGTTTATATTTGTAACTATAAATAGTACCTATATTATTTGTGGTTTATATATTTTCCAAGACATAAGAAATTTAACATTCAACATTTAATAAATTAATGTTTTTGAACAGAAGGAGGAAAAAAATTTGAAAATGTGCACTTAAATCCTAGGGTAGCAAAAAGAATTTATACTACTTTTGAAATGACAGGTAATATCTTTTTCTTTTTTTAGGTTGAGCAAGTGAAATTACTTGACCGATTCAGTACCAGTAACAAGTCATTAACAGGAACACTGTATCTTACAGCCACACATCTATTATTTATAGACTCTCATCAGAAAGAAACCTGGGTAAGGTGGACCTCTGTTGTACTGTTTACCATAATTATAATAATGGTCTTAATCTCTTGCTGTGTTTTATTTTGAATGTGTAATACATTTTTAATCGTTGGTAACTGGGTTGTGACCATTCAAGGCTGGCTGGGTCCGTAGTATTCGTGCAGACAGAATAATATTCACGGAGCCATTGGGATATCTGGCATGCCTTTATTCATGGGAAGGGGGTGAGCCATGCACGCAGCTAGTTGTGTGTCTCCCTGCATGTCACATGTTGTGGCTCTTGCTTCCCAGCGTGACACCGGTCCCTTGCATGTGTCTCTAAAAAGTGAGAAGCCTGTACTTGTTTAAGTACTAGAGGGGAACAAAGCTGGAAAACTGCCAGAACATTATGTAACATAACATAATTCTGTGCATGTGAGCCCACTTCATGTTACAGGAACAGTTTATCGGACCCAGTCTCAGGGCTATGAGAACACTGGTCATCAGGCCCCTCCCAGCCTGTGGGAACACTGCTTCCCTTGGTTACCCAGACACCTGGGTGAGGAAGCCAGGCTGCCTCCACTTACCCTACAGTAACCTATCTCAAAAAGTTTTCAGTCACCTAAATCACTTTTACCTTCCCTTTTAATAAAACTGATAAAATGTGGAACATGGAAAATTTTTGTAGAATTCCAGGCTTTTTTTATTTATATACATGAATAATTATAAAAGACCTGCATGTTCTTTTTACTCTATAAAAGACCTGCAATGTAAGTACATAATTGACAATTCAGATGTCATATTCCATAATATTTTTATACCAAATTGCCATTAGGGTGTTCATTTGTTTATTGCTAGTGCAAACAGGGAGATAATGGGCATTTTGTATATGTTTTTTCATGTGTACACTGCGCCAGAATTTGTCTGAGATAACTTTACTTGCCTAGGAGTAAAATTACTTAGAGAAGTACATATGCAACCTTACTAAGTATGTTACCTCTCCAAAATGATTGGTTCAACATATTCTCAGTAGGCTCTGACACATTGTTCACTATCCTCAGTAACATTGATATTGTCAACTTTAAACTTTTGCCTGTCTGGTAGATGTGTATATGTGAGTTAAATTTGTTGATTATAAAGAAGTTACCCTTTTGTTGGTGGTAGAAATTAGGCTCGTGCACAGGATTGCGAGGAAAGAATTCCAAGGACCTGGGCATGGGAGATTATGGTGTTTGCATGTGGAAATAGAAGCTGCCCCCTTGGTTTCTAGTTTCTCATCTCTGTCCATCCCGCCATGGAAAAAGTCCAACCTTGTCCTCAGCAAGGCAAGAGTAAAAGCCGGTATCCAGATTTTCTGCTTCATGTCAAAATACAGTTTGCTCCAGCATCTGGCTAACTTAGTGTGCGTTTCCAGCTGCAGTCCATTACTAAGCAGTGGTATTCAGGCTCCTTCCTGGAGTGTGCATATGGAGTTCCCAAGGCCATGGGCCTCATGGTTGCTAAGGCCACATGTCTACAGAGAGAGGCCACACAAATGCATGGGTCCAGTGCAGGGCCAGAGAGAGCGAGAGCAAGCCCAACCATCTTCTGTGGGTTCCAGTAGCTGCTAGAGCCACGTGGTTGAATGCTCCTGGGCAAGAGAGCACACAAACAAATGTTGTGAGTACATCACTGGTGGGGGGCATCAGGGGAAGAGAGAGAGATTGATTGAGATTGGTTCTTTGCTCCCTTGGTATTATATTAGCTTGTACTTAGTATGGACCAAATGCCTTTTCAAAATGACCAACCAACTTCTGAAATTTTCAGGGGCTTTGGATGGGTCCACAGCCCCTAGTTAGACTGACAGGCCTCCCATGGTCCAGAACCCTCCCCTGTTGCCCCCCAACAATCTGGAGCTGGTGTGGGAAAGGGAAGAGTGTTAGTCCCCTTGGTGGAGCACAGTGCTGTGCTCCCCTGAAGTGTGAGAAGCTGTAGCCACACCAGCCAGGACTATTGACTACAGCTAAGTGATTGCAATAAATTAGTATACCTAACTGAGATATTGATTTTAGAGAAGTTGTATTCCTTGGAGGCTCCAGATCTCTTCCTCATCCAGTGTTTGCCCAGGAGTTTCATGTAGCAGGGCCTTCCAAAACCATTAGTCTATTCTCATCCACCCTGTCTAACCTTCCTTTGCCTGCCCACTCAATATCTTCTGTGTAGGTCATCTATCTCCTAGAGTACAAATGAAAGTTTCCCATGTAGCTGTTCTTTCAGAAGCTGGGAATGTAGTTTTGGGTGTGGCTAAAAGATATTTATGTTGTTCTTTTCTCTCCTATTCTTTAAAGTGCTTTCTTATTGGTATATTCCTGTACATCTTTCCTGAATGAAGTCTTTTTAGTACACTAGATCCATAGAATGAACCTTTAGATCTAGAATGGGCATTACTTTTATAGATTATTTTTTCAAGATCACATAACTAGTTAGTGACAGAGCTGGGTCCCTTCATCATTCTCTTCCTGCAAATATTTTGGGTTTTAATTGGAATCATAATAATGATACAATATTACAGTGGATTATTGTTCCCTAGCCTCTACTTAGATGTTACTATTAGTTAGATCTTTTCGAGTAACTTGGCACAGGTCTGCTAATGTAAATGTTAATAGTGCTGAATATCAGCCACAAGTGTCAGTTATGTATATGTAGTGTGTGTTAATTATCTGTGTTACATATACTTTTAATTACCATAGGACTTCTGTTCTCATTAGTCTTTTTTTCAAGCTTCCCTTGATTATTTTATACATTTAATCTTGCATGTGAGCTTTACAATTAATGTTTAATTTTGGAGGTGAATATTCACATAAATTTATAATTATATGATATATATGTATAATATAGGTACTGATCCATTGCTTACCTTGCCACCGACACACACACACACACACCCTCCTTCCCCCCAAAGCAGGTTGAATATTTTTACTGGAATTTATGTTAAAATTTTAAACTAATTTGAGATGACTTGATTTCTTGCCACGTTTGAGTTTTATCAAACTTGATAAAACATGATTTTAAGATCTTTATTTTTCAGAAAAGTTTTCTATATAAGTAGGAATGCTATTGAGAAAAAGAGAACCTTTTTTTAGTAGCAAACAGAATATAATAGGTAAAAATTAAGCATGATAATTGTATGTTTCAAATGCCACCAAGTACCAAGTTTATAGTAGGACATTCTGTTCGTTCATTCAGCAAACATTTGTGATGGAGAAGGTATCAACTATAACATCTATATTTCTGGCTGGGTCAAATTTAAGTTTGAATGTGTAATATATATCATTTGAATTTTTTTGTCTTTTTTATTTGAAGAGGATCGTTACAATGTTCCCTGTAACATGTTAGGTCCTGGGGATATGACATTTAACTTCGCTATAGTTTTGCTTCCTACAAAACTCCTAAAATCTGGCTAGAGAAATAGACCTTTACTACACAACAAATTACACATGTACTAAGTGCTATGAAAGGAAAAATATGTGTTGATATTTGATAAGAAAATTGAGGAGGCCTAACTTACTTGGGAAGGCCCATGGGTATTGTCAGGCTATACAATCTCAGTGATGAGTTTAAAGCAAAGGTCAGAAATAATACTGGGAGCCCTGGCTGGCGTAGCTCAGTGGATTGAGCGCGGGCCTGCGAACCAGACAATCGCGGTTCAATTCCCAGTCAGGGCACATGCCTGGGTTGCAGACTGGTTCCCTGCAGGCCAGCTCCCAGCAGGAGATGCACGAAAGGCAAAAGGCAACCATACATTGATGTTTCTCCCCCTCTCTCCTTCCCTTCCCCTCTAAAGATAAATTTTAAAATCTTTAAAAAATAATTTAAAAAAAGAAATAATACTGGGAGTTCCTAGGTGAAGAGGTAGAGTTATAATATCCCAGTTAGTAGGAGTGACTCAGACTGTGTGTGTATAAAGGAGCCTGGCTCATTTGAAGAGCCAAAAGAAGGCTACTGTCACTAGAACTTAAGTCTTGTTGGGGGAGGGACTTGAAATGAGGCTTAGAGAAGTGGGAAAGTCTGGTCATCATCCCCTGAATGCTCCTGCTCTCATCTGATTTCAGAAGCTAAGCAGGGTCAGGCCTGGTTAGTATTTGAATAGAACTGGCGAATAATGACTAGATTGCTTTGCCTTTTTTTTTTCGGATTGGGTTTTCAATGATTACTTGTCTGCCTTGCAGGAAAGGGATTGGGGGGATATCAAGAGTACTTTTGGAAGAGCGTGTAGAAGGATAGTTACAGTAATTCAAGTGAGAAACAATGGGAACATTGCAACTAGGGCAGTGACAGTGGAGATGGGAGAAGTAGAAGTTTACAGAGATATTTAGAGAATGTAATTCTTGGGATATAATAATGCGTGACCGTGTGGAATGATCAGGGCACATTTCTGGCTCAGCGTTGTCATGTACAATTTTTAAGTTTGAGTCTGTAGTACATAATATTTGAGAGTTTATTTGAAGAGGACATTTCTGAACTGTGGAACAGAATGGGATAGTGCTTTTTATCATGATGATCAACTTTTTTCTTGGTGTAGATACTGCACCATCACATTGCCTCAGTGGAGAAACTGGCTTTGACAACTTCTGGATGCCCGCTTGTGATTCAGTGCAAGAACTTCAGAATTGTGCATTTCATTGTTCCCAAAGAAAGAGATTGCCATGATATTTACAACTCTTTGCTACAACTGTCAAAACAAGGTACTGTTCTTAGAGACCAAAGCTCAATTTGGAGAAGGACTGTCTGAGACACTTTATTTAATATCTCTTTATTGTTATTTTATACTTTGTTACTCTTAAGTTGAGTACTTGTGTACTCTAGTCTAAAAAATTTGACCGAGAAGTAATTATAAACTTCTGATCTGAGTTGTAATAAGGGTTTCCAAAAAAGGGGTAATTGTAAGGACAAAATGAAGCATTTATAGTAGAGACTTAAAAAACTATAGATTATATTAATGTTTTAGCAGTTTATTGATAGCCAATAGCACAGCCTTTTTTTTTTTAAGAACCCCACAGCTAAGGGGTGTGACTTGAAAATTGATTCATTAAATGAGAAGTTAAGGAAGATCAGGCTTCTCTGATAGCAGTGAGACTAATATATCTAATTGACTAGAGCAGAACATAAGGGAGATGAGCAGAGGGAAAAAGAGGGTGAATCCTACTTTAGTAGAGATAGGAATGAGAGAGCTATAGGCCCCAGAGAAGAATCTTATCACTACTATGTCTTAGGGATCTGGAGGCCTCCTTCTCCAATATAACTTGAATTATGTAGATCTCCCCACGGAGACAAAAACACATTAGTTACTGGACGCTACTTTTTTTATTGGACATCCTGTATGCAGTGGTCTAGTAGCAGATTTTTTTTTACTCTTCTCTTCCTAACACATAAGGCCAGTAACATTTATCTCATTGTCCCAAGTTAAGTCAACTCTTATGGTGTGGATGGTTCTGGAATTTCAGGGGCTTATCATTGTTCACAAGTAAGTGCTCTTTGGACCTCTGTGCAACCATTCCCATTTTGGATCAAAATCGTACTATAGGAACATATAGGCAACATCATGTTCCATGTTATACCTCTAGTTTTTTATTATAGCATTAGTCTTTATTTTACATCTCATTTGGGTAGGAAGTGCCTGTGTCTTTAAAATTTTACTTTAAAAAAGGGAAATATTACAGTAGAGTACTGTATAAGTCAAACTGTATTAGTCGCTAGCTTTTACTGATGATGTAAATTGAATCTCAGATAGATACATTATGCCTTTAGGTCATTTGCATCAGAGACCTAGGTCATTTTAGTCATTTGCATCAAAGAACTGAGAAAATTTAACTTTAAATATGTTTAGGTATTAGCTATTTCTTTGTAGAGTTTAAAGAAAAAATTGAGGGGTAGAACTGAAAATTACTTTTATTTGTCATATAGTAAGTCTCATAAGTTGCATTTTAACATTTATGCTTTTTGTATACTATAGCAAAATATGAAGATCTCTATGCATTTTCTTATAATCCCAAACAAAATGACTCCGAACGACTGCGAGGTTGGCAGCTTATTGACCTTGCTGAGGAATATAAGAGGATGGGTGTGCCAAATTCTAACTGGCAGTTGTCTGATGCCAACCGAGAATACAAGGTAACATAGCAACCTTCTGGGGAAATTCAGAAAATGTTAATACTAGAGGGTCAGGAAGTGTCATAGTAGCAATTTGTCTCTGTATTGCTATGTACTGTTCTTACGTTTGTAAGTTTTAAAGTTTTATAAAGGTGTTTCAACCTCATGGGTTATTTTTTCCTCAACTTCATGGATTTTAACTGGATGGAGCAGTTATGTTTCATTTGATTTTTACAGATTTGCGAAACTTATCCAAGAGAACTTTATGTTCCCCGAATAGCAAGCAAACCAATAATTGTTGGTAGTTCTAAGTTCCGGAGCAAGGGAAGATTTCCAGTTCTTTCCTACTATCATCAAAATAAGGAGGTAGGTAGCTTTCCTTTTGACTTTACCAAAGTAGTATCATCCCTCTTCAAGTTAAAATATCCAAAAGAATGCTTACTTTTGAATGAAGATGTCATAATCATAATAATGCTCATGGAGAAGTGCTAGCTTTTTACTTAATGACCTTTCACTATTTTAAAACAAAATTGCCACTGAAATACAGAAGCTTTTGTACTTGTTATTTTCTTTTCCCTTCACTCTTCCCTCCCTTCACTCTTCCTCTCTCCCTCCCTCCCTCCCTCCCTCCCTCCCTCCTTCCCACTTCTCACCCTTCCTTCCTATTTTCAAGTGGTGACTTGAAAATAATGGGTTAGATAGGTTCTCTTCCTTGCCTGTGGTTATCTTGATCCTGCTTGCATTTCTCAATAGATATTTTTGACCAGCTAACTATTGAGAAAAGAGAGAGAACCAAGGGTATTTCAGGTTCCCATTTTATTTTATTTTTTTAATTGTTTACCTTTTTAAATTATTTATTTATTTATCTTTAGAGAGACGGGAAGGAGAAGGAGATAAACATCAGTGTTGTGGTTGTTTCTTCTGTGCCCTCCCACTGGGGACCTGGTCCCCAACCCAGGCTTGTGCCCTAACTGGGAATTGAACCAGTGACCCTTGGGTTCCTAGGTCTGCACTCAGTGCACTGTCAGGCTCCCATTTTAGTTTACTTTTAAATATATTTTATTGATTATGCTATTACAGTTGTCCTATTTTTTTCTCCCCTTTATTTGCCTCTGCCCTGCAACCCCCCTCCCACCAGCATCCCCACCCACTTAGTTTATGTCCATGGATTGTACATATAAATTCTTTGTCTGCTCCATTTCCTATACTATTCTTCACCTCCCCATCTATTTTGTACCTACCATTTATGCTTCTTATTCCCTGTACCTTTTCTCCCATTCTTCCTCCTTCTCCTCCCTGCCTATAACCCTCCAAATGATTTTCATTTCTGTGATTCTATTCCTGTTTTAGTTGTTTCCTTTGTTTTTGTTTTTAGTTTCAGTGGTTGATAGTTGTGAGTTTGTTGTCATTTTACTGTTCATAGTTTTGATGGTTTTCTTTTTCTTAGATAAGTCCCTTTAACATTTTATATAATGAGGGCTTGGTGACGATGAACTCCTTTAACTTGACCTTATCTGGGAAGCACTTTATCTGCCCTTCCATTCTAAATGATAGCTTTACTGGGTAGAGTAATCTTGGATGTAGGTCCTTGCCTTTCATGACTTGGAATACTTCTTTCCAGCCCCTTGTTTCTTGCAAGGTTTCTTTTGAGAAATCAGGTGATAGTCTTATAGGCACTCCTTTGTAGGTAACTGTCTCCTTTTCTCTTGCTGCTTTTAAGATTCTCTCCTTATCTTTCATCTTGGCTAATGCAGTTATGATGTGCCTTGGTCTGTGGTTCCTTGGGTCCAACTTTTTTTGGGCTCTCTAAAGTTCCTGGACTTGCACGTCTATTTTTTTTGCCAGATTAAGGAAGTTCTCCTTTATTATTAGTTCAAACAAGTTTTCATTGTCTTGGACTTCCTCTTCTTCTGCTACTCCTATGATTCTGATATTGGAATGTTTAAGTTGTACTGGAGGTTCCTAAGCCTCGCCTTATTTTTCTGAATTCTTGTTTCTTCATTCTGTTCTGGTTGAATGTTTATTTCTTCCTTCTCCAAATTCTTGATTTAAGTCCCAGTTTCCTTCCCATCACTGTTGTTTCCCTGAACCTTTTTCTTTATTTTACTTTTCATAGCCTTCTTTCTCTATTTTGTGACTATACTCAACCATTTCTGTGAGCATCCTGATTACCAGTATTTTGAACTCTGCCTCTGATAGGTTGTCTATCTCTTCGTTGGTTAGTTGTATTTTTTCTGGAGCTCTGATCTGTTCTTTCATTTGGGCCATATTTTTTTGTCTTGGCTTGCCTGTTACATAGTAAGGGGCAAAGCCTTAGGTATTTGTTAGGACAGGACAACTCATGTCACTCTGTTGTGGCGTTGTTTGTGGGGAGGGGTCTGAGAGGGAACAGTGCTGCTTGCTCAGCTCTCTGCTGGCTTTCAGTCACTTCCTTCACTACTTACAAACAAACCGGGCCCTTCTTGTGCTGATTCCTGGTTGGGTGTGTTTGTGTACACTGTAGAACCCTGTGGGTCTCTCCAACAAATTCTCCTGTGAGGCTGGGAGTTTTTCCCACTGCAGCCCCCACAGATTTTTACAGCCAGAATTTTTGAGACTTTATTTCCCCCGCGCTGAACCCCTGGGTTGCACAGTCTGTCTCACTTCCCAGTTGTTTTTCTCAGTTTATCCACACACAAATATAGGATCACCTGGTGTGCCAACCGTCACCTTACCTGGTCCGCTGTCGCCACCCTGTCCACCCCAGTCCTCCAGCTGCAGCCTTGCCATGAGTCCTCTTCTCCCCAGCTGCCTGTCTCTGCCCCACCTACCGGTCTGGATGAGTATTTCTTCTTTAACTCCTTGGCTGTGGGGTTTCCAGTTGGATTTGCTGGCAGTTCTGATTATTTTTTGCTTTTAAGTTTGTTATTGTCCTTTTGGTTGTGTGAGGAGGCAAAGTGTATCTGCCTATGCCTCCATCTTGGCCAGAAGTCTCCCAGGCTCCCATTTTAATAGTAAGCTCTTCAGAGTGGAAAGATTTTGCAATATGAAGAGGTGAAGGAGGCATCATACTGAGATGCTGTAACAGGGATTGCACATTACTGTGAAGTCACCTTTGTAGGCTGTAACAGTAGGCCAGGAGGCACTATATGTTAAAAGCTTTATATATGTGAAATCCTTACAGTAACTTTATAAGGTGGGCTCTGCTAATTACCTGTCACTTTCAAAAGGGGGAACTGTGGTACAGAGAGGGTAAGTCACTTTTTCTGTATCTCAGCAGCTGGTAAGTTGAGAATTTGGGTGTCATTTCTGACTCCCAGTTTTTCGTGACCTGACTTTTCCTCTCTGGAAGCTTTTAAACTCTTCTTTCTCCCAGTGTTTTGGAACTTCACAGTCATGTGCTTTCAACACCGTCATATGTTGTTTTAAATTCTCTCTGGAAACTTAGGTCTCACTTGTGGGAAATTGCTTCTCTATTTCTTTGATAACTTCTACTCTTTCATTAATTTTTTTTACTTTTGTAGGTATTACTTGACAAGTTGGCTTTCTAGCATAAGCCTTCATTTTTCTTAAATTTCTCTTTGATTTTCCACCTCCTTCTGTCCTTGATTATGTCTGTTAAGTCTCATCGTAAGGTTCAGGGTAGGGGTGATTTCCTGAACTTCACCTCCAACCATCTCTTAGGTCCTTTTTTTTTTTTGCTATAGTCTTTTAAAAATCTAAGGATTATTTTCTGTTTTCTGAATTTTTTAAACAGTTTTCTATTCTTGGATGTAATGACTTAGTTCTCTGAAGATGTTAGGGATTTTAAAAAAGCATTCTTGTGCTCCCCACATTAATTATCCTTTCACTGTTTCTTTACATTAGTTTCGTTTTTTGTTTTTTCATGTCTTTCAAACAGTTGATTCTTGCCCAGCCTCTCATATTTAAGAGTGAGGTACTACAAAGCTGTTTAGAAGTTTGTATGCGTGAATGATTACTCTCTTTGGATTCTTCTTTCTCTTGTAACCTTTGTCCCAATGTGTGTGGTAAGTCTGGCCAGGGTCCAGATGTGGGAAGAGAGATAGGAAGACCTTACATTTTGTTATGTAGACTTTGCTTAAGCCTCCTACTTTTTGGCAGGGGAGGGTGTGCAACCACAGCTGTGCCTGTTCCCCAACGTCTTCAGATTAATCCTCTTCATAGAATAAACTTTTTCTTCAGGGTACAGGAAGATCTGGGATTGTTAACTAGTCCTTATATAGTCATTCAGCCAATTTGATTGTTTTTAGTCATGCTCCTACTCCAGCTTTCAGAGGTACCAAATCCTGAGTCTGTCTGAGATTTTGCTCCTTCAGATACCTGCTTCTTATTGACTAATAATGATTTGGCAGCCCTCTTTGCTCTGGTAAATTGGCTATTACATGTTAGTCTGCTTTCATTTTCTCAAATTTTATTGACATCTTTATTCTTCCCTCCTTTTCCTTTCTCTTTGACCTTTTGGTTTTTACATATTAAGTTTCTTTATTAGAACTTCAAGCTGGGGTTTAGAAGGGAGCCAGAGATAGTAAGTAAAACTTTAAAGAAGAGTTTCTAATCTAATTTTTGTAGCAAAGTCATAGGGAGTTATGACTGATCATGGCCTTTGTTTGACACACACATGTTTGTATACATTTTTAATTGGAAATCTGGGCTAAAAGTAGATATTCAATGCCTTACTTAACAAATCAGGAAGTAGGTCTGAAAAAATATAATAAGACAATCCTCATTTTTTAAATTAAATTTGTATGAGTGTTTTCGATAACTGCTTTATTTTTCTTAAAATTTTATTTATTATCTTTAGAGAGGAAGGGAAAGAGAGAGGGAGAGAAATATCAATGTATGGTTGCCTCTCGTGCGTCCCCTGCTGGGAACTGGCCTACAACCCAGGCATGTGCCCTGACTGGGAATCGAACTACGATACTCTGGTTCGCAGGCCCGCGCTCAATCCACTGAGCTACACCAGCCAGGGCTTATGAGTGTTTTTGTATGTGTAAATTTAAAATAGGTGAACGTCTGAATTTATGTATACTTTGTTTTTTTAAATGATACTGTAGTTGAAATGCTTGGGTAGGGTTACGTTGGGTTTGGTATGATGAGATTGGATAAAAAGTGTGTAGGTCTGAATTAAAAAAAAACTTTTTTTTAAGGTTATTTTCTTAAAGATTTTATTTATTTAGTTGTAGAGAGATGGGAAGGGAGGGAGAAAGAGAGGGAGAGACATCAAGCAGTCCCCTCTCTCATGTTCCCAACTGGAGACCTGGCCTGCAATGCAGGCACATGCCATGAATGGGAATCCAACCAGTGACCTTTCAGTTTGTAGGCCGGTGTTCAATCCACTGAGTCTTACCAGCCAGGGTTTTTTTATAACTATTTTAAACAACAGTGACTATCTAATCCAACATTCACTACTTCTTATAGATATTGTTGCCTTTTTGTGTTGAGTATATTTTAACCCAAATTTACATTGAAACTCATTTTTCTCATTTTATGTCTCATTTTATATAAAGATCACTGTTTTCTAAGTGGAGGTCTGAAAGGCTTTGGAAAGTAAAAGTTTAAATGTTGGTTGCTATTTTAAAAAATCCCTTTCTGCATTTACTGACTGATCTCTTACTTGAACTTCAGTTGAAATTATCTTGTAATCTAGGGCACAGAAACTATCTTAGTAGGTTATATGATAGAGAATTAACCAGATGTGACTCCTTAGGACCTAAGACATTTTTTTATCCAACTAGGTAAGGAGGCATTAAAGTTTCTTGGAAGAGAATGTTGGGAAAAATTAAGTAATATCAAGATGTTAAAGTAGTATTTTAATTCAAATAGGATTTCAAAGTTAATGTCTTCTAATTGTCCTGCCAACTTTTAAACAGATAACGCATTTGATTTTAACTTTTTTTTTCTTTTAAACATTGTAAAAGACATGTTTCAGATCTCTTTGAATAGTCTGATTTCTGTCTCTTTAAAATTAGGCTGCCATTTGTCGATGTAGTCAGCCACTGTCGGGATTCAGTGCCAGGTGCCTGGAGGATGAACATCTGCTTCAAGCCATCAGTAAAGCCAACCCAGCCAATCGCTACATGTATGTCGTGGACACCAGGCCCAAAGTATGTGCTTTGAACACACTATAGTCTGCTACTTGAATTATCTTTGTTATGTTGAAAGAGTTGATTAATTTGTCCACATTTAACATACTGAACTCTAGTTTTAAATTAACCAAGGCTGAAAGAATGGTTGCTGTTTAGAAGTAATTCTCATCATTATGCAGCCTTACATAAGATGCTAAGGAAATCAGTCTTTTACAGGATACCAACTTAGAAATTCAATTTCCCAGTAACACAGATAAGTGATTTCCTATGTTTTCTGAGTTTAATTGGGAACTATTAATGATGTATACAAGTAAGTATTGTTATTGTGGAGAAATACTAAATAGTGTGTGTCTTGTGAAAAATTGAAAATTGAATTAGAATTTTCAGTTGGCAAAACACTGTTAAAATAATGGACCTTAATTTGAAATATTCAGGAAGATAAGGAAAATACGTAGTGAGTTAACTTAGGAAACAGCGACCTGGAGAATTTTAAATAGTGAAGGGGGAATAGTTGTTCTGTTAGGTATCCATTGTATCAGGTAAAATTTTGTATAAGATAAATCACTGGGACAAATGTTACAGTCCCATTTTTTTTTTACCCTCATCCAAGTGCATGCTTATTGATTTTAGAGATGGGGGAAGGGAGGGGAGAGAGATGGGTAGAGAAACATCAATGTAAGAGAGAAACATTGATCAATTGCCTCTTGTAGGCGCCCCAAACAGGGGCCAAATGTGCAACCCAGGTATGAGCCCTAACTGGGAATTGAACCTGCGACCTTTAGGTTTAGGGGACGATGCCCCAACCAATTGAGCCACATCACCTAGGGCTCCATTTTTCTTTTTATAAACACAGTTAAGCAGCCATTTCATATACAATCCTGAAACAAAAGTATTTTAAATCCACAATATTAGTAGCTAACATTACTTTTAATTTTTATTATAGCATCGAGTGCAGAGCTGGTGGGCTACACAAAAGGACATTGGCAGAATTATAGTGAGGATTTCTTCAAAAATCTGGAATGATGAGAGAATAAGAGAAAGCGATGAAAAAGAGCGAGTGAGCCTTATAGACCACAATGATAGGCAGCTTTGTTGAAAAGAATGGTTGTTGTTTAGAAGTAATTCTCATCATTATGCAGTCTTGCATAAGATAATGGGGAAAACATACGATTAATTTGAGTAAATTAAGGAGTATTAAAAATTAGAAACTGATAATTTGGTGATCTGTTATTAAAAAGGAGACTTTCTTAGAAGACAAAAAGTGTTGGTGATTTGTAAGAAAAATTTTATTTTACTTCTTTGTGTAATTTGGATGGCTTAATTGGTTAGAACTATTTTTAGGTGATAATAGATATAAAAAAATTGTAACAAGACTCTCTGAATATAATGTCTGAGGGTGATTTGTTTAGTGTTGAATAACCAGTGAGTCAGTAAATACAGTTTAACTGTACTTGTTATCAACATGGGCTCCAGTACACTGAATGAGAAGCTACTATTTCTTCCTAAAATTTAGGTCCATGAGAAGATTTAGTAAACTGTCATAATGTGCTATATGAAATCCTAGTCTGAAAGAACTAGACGTGGCAAACCCTAAGTGAACGTCTAATAGCATTTGATCTAAAAGCTAAAGGTTATGGGGTTATGGGCAGTCTCTTCTCTGCCTTAGAGGCTGGTTTATCAGTGGCCCAGTTCTCGAAGCTCTGTCAAGTTAACTGATTATGTGCCATGTTATGTGCTGTGTGGGCCTCCAGCAATCTCTAATATGGAGGAACTCAAATAATCTGACCTGTGTAACTAACTACCCAGCTCTGCTCATCTCTGAATCTTTTAAGATTTAGCTAGGAGATCTTTGTGGTTTTAGATTTTCAAATATTACAAACATAAGGAAAACTGACTAAAAACCCAAGTGGGTTAGTTTCATGAATTATTTGTGGGGAATTTCTTTTCTGACCTTTCCATTATGTAGCAATCATACTGTCTCTTTATAGTAGCCCTCTTTGCTATTATTAATCTGAGACTTTTACTTGCTAAAAAATGTTAACATATTCAGTTGTGGCGAGTTCCTTTAAACTGTCCGCTAGCTTAAATTAGTTTATTTAGTATTTTCATATTTTGGTAAGTTACAAGATAAAAGCAATTGTCTCTGAATTTATAAATTTTAAATTTTTAGCTGAATGCAATGGCCAACAGAGCAGCTGGAAAAGGTTATGAAAATGAAGACAACTATTCTAATATTAGATTTCAGTTTGTTGGAATTGAAAATATTCATGTTATGAGGTCAAGCCTTCAGAAGTTACTGGAAGGTATGATTATCGCTTATCTTCTAGTCAGCTTTGCTCCATAGAAATATAATGCTAGTCAAACAATATTAAATTATGAATATGAAGTTTTCTAGTAGTCACATTTTAAAAAGTAAAAAGAAACAGTTGAAATTAATTTTAATAAAATATTTAACCTAATAAAAACACTATGTTAAACATGTAACGCAATCAATATTAAAAATTCGTAATGATATATTTTACTTTTTTGCCTTTAAGTCTTAGAAATTCTATACATACAATACATCTCAGTTGGGACTACCTACATTTCAGGTGCTCATTATCTATATTTGGGTAATAGCTACCGTATTAGTATAATTCAAATGGTTTTATAAAAAATTGCTATTGTTAGATATTCTTGATTAGTCAGTATAGTTAAGATTAATTTACAATACCATTTCATTTAAATAATAAGGTATCTTTCTAGTCATGGCATGGAATTAAAAAAATTAAAATATCAGAGTGTTTTTAATTAAACACTGATGTGCAAATATTTTTTCAAACCAGATAGCATTTTTTTAAGCACAAGGAATGACAGCAAAATATAACAAAAAATTTATCATTGAGCTTCTGGTTGCATCTTTTCATTTTATAATAAGTTTTGCCTATTTATTTTGTCCTCTTCTCTTCTTCCCCAATTCACTCACCTAGCAATATGTAGAATAGGAAAAGTGAAGATTTTAGCCCATTCTAATTGAAATGTTTTTCCTCCTCTTTTAGTTAATGGCACCAAAGGGCTTTCCGTCAATGATTTCTACTCCGGTTTGGAAAGCTCCGGATGGCTTCGCCATATCAAAGCTGTCATGGATGCTGCAATCTTCTTAGCCAAAGTAACTCTTCACTGCTTATATTTGGTCTTGGGGTTTGTAATGGTTGGGAAGGAATGGGTTTATTATGTTGAGTGCTGGTATACTTTCCAGTCAGATAATTTTTTTAAAGATTTTATTTACCTATTTTTAGAGAGAGGGGAAGGGAGGAGGGGAGGAAGAGAAACACCAGTATGTGGTTGCCTCTCACACTCCTTCTACTGGGGACCTGGCCTGCAACCCAGGCACGTGTCCCAACTGGGAATTGAACCCTTTGGTTCTCAGGCCAGCACTCAGTCCACTGAGCCACACCAGCGAGGGCCTAGTCAGATAATTTTTATTATGTTTTACCTCTTTAATGAGGTTGACTTAATTTTATCATTTAGTGAGTGCTTAAAAAATATTTTTAGGCACTTTGAAATAGAATTTTTGTTTTTGTTTGTTTGATTTGTGTTTTGTCTTGGTTTTTGGAAATTATGTTGTAGCAGCATTATCATTACAGTCCTAGCTCCTTATAATGCAGTACTTAATGGTTTTTGAGTAAGTAGAACTTACTGATCCTTTTAAAATGTATTCTGTTAGAATCTAAGTATGTGATCTCTCTTTTCAGGCAATAATGGTTGAAAATGCAAGTGTGTTGGTGCATTGTTCTGACGGCTGGGACAGGACTTCCCAGGTCTGTTCCCTTGGCTCTCTGTTGTTGGATTCCTACTACAGGACAGTCAAAGGATTCATGGTAAGGAGTTATTGGGCTAAAACAGCAGTTTTAGTGCCAGTTCTTGGACAACAAATTTTAGATTTAAAAGTTGTTTTTTCCTAAAATGTTACAATAGAAATACTCAGTATTTTCCCCTCATATTTATCTAATGAATGTAAGTAATGTAGAAAAATAAGGCATAAATAAGAATATTTAAAAACTATATTCTAGAAGAAACTTTCTATTTCAGATTCCTTCATTTGTTAATTGTAGTTAAATGGTAGGAAGCATGTTTTTTATCTGAAGATTAAATTTCTAATTGAACCTATTTTCTGCTTTGTTCTGTTTTGTTTTTTAATGTATGATCAGATTAACTCATCTTTTCAAAATTTATATCTTAATTCATGGCAAGTAGTAAATGAAGACACGTGAGAAAGTTTTCCTTAGTTTAGAATTATTAAATACAGTACCGTCTTAAAGCAAGGGAAGGTTTAACATCACTAGGTCCCTTTTAGCACCAGTATTTTGTGGTGCTGACACATTAAATCTGGGAAGACAAATGGAAGTGTTGTTGATAAAATAATGTTCTACTTACTTTGTGAGTGGAAGATAGGGAATATTTCCCTTGCAATGTTTGGCTTTAAATGTTTCTTAGACATCCCAAATGAAATCATGTAATACATGACCAGGGACAATGTGAGACGTTCCCAGGCAAACGGAGCAGTAAAGCTAAAGAGTAGCTCTTTTAGGTGACTATAGGTAATGTGTGGTAGGTGGGATTCAGGGTGAGTGTGGGGGGTCAGGGGCTTGGTTGCAGAAGAATATAGTGGCATGGGGGCCTGAGGAAGAGAAAACTAGAATTTAGGTAGTGAGAGCCACTAGAGGGCTTTGAACAAAGGAAACAGTAACGTGCTTTAAAAAAGATGGGTAGGTGTCTTGAGGGAAGAGGGGAGTGGGAATGGAGGTTAGGAGACCAGTGTAGAAACTGTTGTGATAACTTGAGAGCCAGAACGAAAGCAGTACCGCATGAATGGAGGGAGGAGGTGATGTGCCAGCCTGCGGGGATATTAAGACAGGAGAGTCAGTGAGAGTTGTCCACAGATAGGATGATTTCCAGGCTAGGGACTCAGTTGTCAGGATGAATGGCGCTGTTCTCCTGCTCTTTACTGAGATGAGCAAAGGAATACATCCAATGAGAAAGATTTTAAGTTTTAGGTGTTGGTGTATAGAAGAATGGCAGAGGGCTTGTAGTAAAATCTGGGGCTACAGCCTGAAGGTCACATGCCTGAAGTCACACGGGTGTGAAAGTGGTAACACTAGAACTTGAGTCCATGCAATATGAGTCCAGAAACTGCATCTTCTCTTGTTCTATTATATGGCCTTCTGAGAGATTTAAGACCAAGTCAGAGAATCTAAAAGTGGCGATTTGGACAGTGTGAAAAGGATGTACTTGGTGATTATGCATGAAATTATATATTAAATATTAAGAAGATACATTGTTTAGGGTAGTTAGACTGAAAAAATTAGAACCCTATTCAGTAGAGTTGTGACAGGAAATGATAGAGGTTAGATATTAACATTGAATTTGAGTAGAAACTTTTCATTGGTCTCTTTATCATTTTTTAAGTATTATGTAAGTGATGTACAAGTAAATCAAAAGATTTAAAACATAAGTTAGTCTACCACCCACAGTTAACCACTTTTAACACTTGATTTCCATTTTCCTAGTCTTTTTTCTAGGCAAATATCATCATTATACATAAAAAATGTAAATGCAGCAGTGCTTTATAACATACATTCTTTACCTAAAATGTAGTAAGTACAATAGAAATAATTGAAGTTATAATACCCCTGTTTCTTTTTATATATCATCTTCACTCTTTTTTAAACCAATCTTTAATCTAGGTTCTTGCTGTCTTTTGCCTAATAGTCTTAAAATTTGGTTTTGTTTGCAAAGTATAAATGCTATTTTTAAGACAATAGGATTTAATCCATTCTAAACAAAAAATAAGTAGTTATAAAATGGATTTTACTTTGTTTCCATTAAGGTTTTAATAGAAAAGGATTGGATCTCCTTTGGACATAAGTTTTCAGAGAGGTGAGTCAGTCACAGTTGTGCATTTATATACTTGGTAAAAATAGAAAAATTAGTTTGAAGTACCTAAATGTTTCCATTTTTCATGAACTTGCTTATCCAATGGGAGGTGAGAACATAATATAGTTTTCTGTATGAAGACTGATTTAATTTTTTGTCATTTCTTTCCATTCTTATAACTTTGTTAATTTTTATGGCAATTTATTACCTCCCTTTTTGTTTGTCTGGATTGTAATAGGTAGAAGGTAACAGATCCTTTAAAATTGTGGTTCAAGAACTCTTTAAGTGTAAGTGGTTTCAATGAAAACATTAGGGTTTTTTTTTTATGCCAATGACACAATGTTTTAGAACTTTTTAAAAAATGTATGTTTAACTTTAACATCACCTGAACAATTGATTTCTTTCAGAGGCATTTTTAATAGCTTGTACTTTTCTGGGGGGGTTAGGTGTGGCCATTTGGATGGTGACCCAAAGGAAGTCTCACCAGTGTTTACTCAGTTCTTGGAATGTGTGTGGCATTTGACCGAACAGTTTCCACAAGCCTTTGAGTTCAATGAAGCGTTTCTTCTTCAGATCCATGAACATATTCATTCGTGCCAATTTGGAAACTTCCTCGGAAATTGTCAGAAGGAGAGAGAAGAACTCAAGTAAGGTGGTTTGATTAAATGGGCTCTTTTTTTTTCCCTTAGCTGAGGTCTAACATAAATTGTAGTTGAACGTAATGAAATATTTTGACAGTATGAAATAGAACTGAATTTTTTTCCTACTTTGCTGTATTTTATTTCATTTCATTTCATCTCATTCTTTATATCTATGTTTTTCCCTCCTCTCCCCTCTTTTTAAAGCAGGCCCTTTAACATTCTTGTAATAACAGGTTTAGTGGTAATGAACTTCTTTACCTTTTTTTTTGGTCTGGGAGGCTCTTTATTTTGCCTTTAATTTTAAATGATAGCCTTGCTAGATAGAGTTGTCTTGGTTGTAGGTATTTTAACGATTAAGTGTCTTGGTGAGGGCCCTTTTGGGTTCATCTTAATTGGGACACTGTACTTCCTGGACTTATATGACTGTTTACTTCACCAGGTTAGGGACATTTTCAGCCATTATTGCTTCAGACAAGTTCTCTATCCCTTGCTCACTCTCCTCTTTTTCTGGTATCCTCATGATGCAGATGTCGTTACACTTGATGTCTCAGAGGTTCCGTATATATTCCTTATTTTTAAAAATTCTCTTTCCTTTTTGATGCTCTGCTTGGATTTTATATTCTTCATTTCTGACTGGTTGTTTTTTATGGTTTCTATGTCTTTTTTAATGCTTACTATCTCTTTAAGTTCTCACTGAGATCATTCATTCTTCCCCTGAGGTACTCGAGTATTCTTATAACCACTGTTTTAAACTCTGCTTCTGGTATTTTGGTTGCTTCCACTTCATTTAATTCATTTTTTACTGATTTCTCTTATTCTTTCATTCGGGGCATATTTCTTTTTCTCCCCATTTTATCTCTGTGTATTAGGTGATTCCCAAACTTGTTGTATCTTTAAGATGTAGGTGTCTTATTGGGCTCAGTGGCACAATCTTCCAGATCACCCGAGCACCACGCTGCAGGGATGTTTCTTGTGGGTCATGTGCACCCACTCTCCTGTTGTAGTTGAATCTTGAATCCTGTTGGCCCTTTTGTGGGTGGAGTTAACCCTTCAGGACGGCTATCTGTAAGGGTAAATCTTAATCACTATATATGAGTCACTGTACAGGGGCTGACCGCTGAGGTGGAGTTGCTTCAGGTAGGCTCTGGTGCCTGCTGGAATCCCACTTTGGGTATCCTGCTTGTGTGGCTAGTTGGGTAGAGCTCTGGTGTGGCTTTAGAGCCCACCACTAGTTGTGCTGGTTCTGGATTTACTTAGTGGGATTCAGGTACAGTTTATGTCAGATGTTGTGTGTACTAGCCTTGGGCTATCTATCTAGAGTTACTATGCCATTCACTGTGTACAGAAAGACTGTACAGTGGGCCCAGTCTCTGACCCACAGACCCTTCCACATGTTGTAAGCTTGGTATGGCAGGGAGGCCAGGGTCAGGGGAACCAGACTAGTGCGTCTCCTACTTGGGGGCCATGTGGTCAGGCACTCAGTGAAGGGTAAGTGGCCCCTACTTCAGAACCAAACCGCTCAGTCCCTGCCAGAGTCTCCAACCCTGGTTCCCCAGGAGGAGCACGCCGCAGGTGCAGGTTGGGTGCAGCCAGCCATCCTCTCTGCCTGAGCACACTCCGCAGGGCGGAACCACTGGGACTCTGGGGAAGGTGGGGAGAGAGAGATCTAAAGAGACCCTCCTTGGGGTGGTACTGGCCAAGCCTGCAGGAGGGGCCAGGCACTTCGTCCTGGTCGCAGAGTAATAGCTTATGTGGGAGACACACTGTTAGTCTCAAGTCAGAGCAGCCATCCCTTCCTCCCCATGGAACTGAGCTCAGCAGGGCAGGGCCACTGGGACTTGGGGGTGCAGATCCAAAGTCTCCTGTTGGGGGTGGTGCTGACAAACCTGTAAGAGAGGGCAAGTACTTTTTTCCCTTCCCGAGGTAGCAGGGGCTGAGCTTGCAGGGAAATAGGAGTGGACCCCCCACAATGTAGTCATGCAGCCCAGCACCTGCCCGTTTGATTCCTGGACAAAAGCCTCCCTGGGATACAGTGCTCCAAAAGTCCCATCTCTGTAGGGCACCGCGATCCCCCTGTGCAACTGAACTCAGCAGGACGAGGCCACAGAGTAGTAAGGGCAGGCCAGGTGATTTAACAAATTGGAGGAGGGCGCCAGCTGTGTGTCTGAGGTGGGGAAGAGTGGTCCTCTTTCCAAAGCTACACTTCTCAGTCACTGAGTTTCTGCCAAGAGCTTCTCTAGAAAAAGAGCACTCGGAAGGTGTCTGCTAGGTGCAGCCAGCAGACCCCTCTGTGGGGTCTGAGCACATCAGGGTGGAGTCACCAGTAGTTGGAGAACCAGGCAGTTCATTCCCTGGGCTGGTGCTGTAACACAGAAGTGCTCAACCATGGGAAGGTGGAGCCTGAGTCTCTACCAGACTCTCTGCTCTCCTAGGCAGGCTGAATCCCCACTGATTTTCATCACCAGATGCTGTGTGTGCTCCTCTTCCCATCTCTGTCGCTCTGGGTTGGGGATCCCTCTGTGGGGTTGAGACCCGATGCTTCTGGCGGCAGGGAGTGTTGCAGCATAGAGATATCCCTGTGGCTTTTCAGCCACTGGGTGTGGCCCCACTGTGCGGGCCAGTCCTTTCCAAGTCTCTACTCTTCTTACCAGTTTCTGAGTGGCTTCTTCTGAAAATCCTCTAGTTTAGCTAGACTTTAGTTGGTTACTCAGGTTGATTGCTCTTTAATTTAGATGTAAATCCAGGTATTTGCTGGGAACGTGTGAGTGTAGCTTCCATTTATTCTGCAGCCATTTTGGATTTTACTGCCTGTATTTCTGAAGCCAAGTATGCTCTGAGTATCTCTCACATCCTCCGGGTAATAGTAGAAATACATTGTTAAAAATGTAATTTGAAATATAGCATATATATAGAAAAGTACATGTGTCTTCAGTGTGAAGCTTAATAAATTTTCAGGTCATTCACTTGTGTAACCAGCACTCAGAACAAGAAATATTACCAAACCCTAGAAACACCACTTATGCTTCTGTCCAGTCTGAAAATATGTATGTGTGTGTATGTGTGTGTAAATATTTATTTTATTTTCTAGAAAGTATTGGCTACTAAGTTTTAAAGTGTCTTAAAAGATTTAAAACTGTTGAGTAATTTAAGGTACCATGAAGCCTTATAGCTCTCCTCACATTTCTAGACAGACAGTTCTTTGGGGAAATAAGTTTACCTATGTGGCTGCAATGTACATCTGTTCTTCCCTAACTAGTCTTTGGGATTATGTGCTTCTGGCTAAATTGTGGTGCAAGGGAGATCTATCTCATAGTCCTTAGCTCTTCTCGGTTCAGGTTTCTTAGAGTAGTCAGTCAAGAGCAGTTACACATTTGGAACATCCAGGTGACATGTTAGGCTAAATCTGGTGTAGTAGTTTGAAGACAGCCAGATGCCATCATTCCCAGCAGGGGAAATGGGAGCATGTGGAGCAATCTGAGGACATGTAATAACAGGTGAAGTAGAGTGTGACAGAGGTGAACAAGTCAGAGAACATTAGGACGCTAGCTCTGTGCTACAACATCTCAAAGGGATTTTTTTGTTTTGTTTTGTTTTGTTTTTTCATAAATAGGGGAGGTGACTTGGAGTACAGAGCTGTTTCTAGGAGAAAAGAATTCTCATTTAGTGTCAAACATCCTCATAAATAGGAAGATGTAATAAAACACATTTTCTGAGGCGGACACGGGCTCACAGTTGCCCGCGGCATCATGGATGAGATATGAGACAAATTCACACGGACTACTGAGTCCTGTGGAGGAGAAAGGGACGGCACAGCTACTCCCTCAACAGAACGGCCTGGCCACTCTCTCAAGGGGAGAGTGTGCTGACCCTTGCCTAGACAGGCTTTTATTTTGCACAGGAATACAGGTAAAGTTCATTAATCATTGTCAGGTAGCAAGCATCAAACAGTAGATAGCATACAAAGAATTATTAGGGCTTCTTTTGAGTCAGGGTCTATCAGCTACAAAAGGCTACAAAACTTTGGGAAACAAACTCATTTCCTTCTCTGGCCTTTATCAATTAACTAAGAGCATTCTTAGCAAAGCAAGCTTCACAGGATTTTACATATCCTTTCTCAGGCCTGATCTCCCCGGGAGCCCGCCCTTTCCAGCACAGGGCTGCACTGACCCCTGTCATTGTTTCAGGCTTAAGTCAGGCAGAGGAGGCAGATAGCCAAGGAATTTTCAGAGACTTCTCTTGAACTTAGGGGAGTCAGGCTTCATCAAAGCTGAGGGGCGAGGGTCCATCACCCCCTTTCTCCATAGCCCCCCAAGTTCCTTCCCTGGGGCTGGTGATCATGCCTGTCTTAGGTGGTTCCCCCTTGGGGAATCTTACCCGTCATTGGCTAACTGATCAAGCACTGGGGGCCAGTTATGGAAAAAGGAGCGGAAGCGGTGCTCCTGCCAGGGAGATAAGCTTTGTCTCCTTAGTGGCTTATGGTCCAAAGGTCGCGCACTCAGCCTTAGCCATGAGGGCATTACAACTCCGGAAACCAGGCAGGGCAGTTCCCAACAATTTCCTAGTAGTTCTCTAAGAAGATATCTCTTGGTTATCTTTGGGATCATGCAGGAAAGCAGATTCTCCACCTTTCTTTCTCTATCCTTATCTATTTTATGTTTATTTGGTAGGTAGTTCTAAAACCATTCTACCCTTTACCCACCTGCTTCACTACTTCACCTGCTTCCTGTTCGATTTGCAGTATCACTGGCATTTTGAAGTGCTCGAACAGTGTCCTGATTTTTCCTAATTTCCGTTATTGGACCACCCTCACTTAAATCTGTCCCTGCCATTACAGTACAGATACGGGGCTGGGAGAATGAGGCCAAACGGAAATACAGTGCCATTCTCTAGATAGTTGACCTTTGAACAGCGTGGAGGTGAGGGGCACCAACCCTGTACGGTTGAAAATCTGCATATACTTTAATTTGGCCCTCTGTATCCATGGATTTGAAAGTATTATTTTTGGTCATGGTTTGCTGAATCTGTGTAAGTGAAACCCAGGAATATGAAGGGCCAACACTGTGTTTATTGAACCCTGTGTATTTCGTGGACACGCGTTAGACCTGTGCAGTTCAAACCTGTGTCATGCCAGGGTCGGCTGTATGTGTGTGGTCATTTGAAATAGGTGTAAGAGACACCAAGATTATGAAATTGTGTGTATTAATCTCTTAAAGTGTATGTTCTGGGAGAAAATGACATACCTGCATTCTGTTCGATAGACATGGTTTCATTACAGGGTTATAAGTGAAAGTGGAGAGAAGGAGCAAACAAAATTCAGAGAGAAGGTAACATTAGACTGTGAGTAGAAGGAAAAACTAAAACTGAACTCTACTTGGAAAACAATTGCTTAGTTTATAAAACTGAGTATTGGCATCTACAAGAAAGATATTTATGTTTCTCGTTGTGTCAGGTTAAGGGAGAAGACTCACTCCCTGTGGCCATTTCTGCTGGATGACCGAGAGAAGTACTCAAACCCTCTCTACAGTCCCACATCTCCGAGATTTGCTGTTTTGGAGCCAAATACAGTATCTTTCAATTTTAAGTAAGTTGCCATCTTTGAACGTTTATGTTCTGTTTTTTCTCACATTTATTTATTGACATTTTTCTGTTTTTCATCATAAAGGTTTTGGAGAAGCATGTACCACCAGTTTGACCGAACATTGCATCCCAGGGAGTCAGTGTGTAACATAATCACAAAAATGAACGCGCAAAATAAGCAGTTAGAGAAAGACATTAAAGACTTAGAATCTGTAAGTATTCAGAATTATCTAACATAATATATTGGGAATATTAAATTAGTTTACTTTCTTGTGTTCCTAGTGTAAGTTAGTATATGGGGGGGACCCAAAAAACCAAAATTTATTTATACAAAGTTGTGTATTTATTCATACGTGTTTACGCTCCTGTCACCTTCAAAGTACTCTCCATTCGATGCAATACACCTATCGAGACTTTTCTCCCACTGCTCAAAACAAGGTTTGAACTTGTCAATTTTGATGCATTTTAGTGCTTCTGCCGTTTTTTGTTTCACGTCTTCTCCATTGGCACAATGTTTCCCTTTGAGGACTTTTTTCATGGGGGAAACAAAAAAGTCTCTCAGGGTGAGATCTGGTGAATAGGGAGTGTGGGCATGGGGGTCATGCCATTGTTGGTCAAAAACTGCTGAACACTCAGTGAGACTTGGGCAGGTGTGCTTGTAAATCACCCATCATGAAATGGGCAAACGTGTTGAAAGAGGCTTAAAAAAAAATTGACTGAAGCCAAACACAGCTCTCACAACACCACCAATGCTGGTTCATTGATACAGATGGGCTCCTAGAACTCACCCGGTGGGGGAAGCCTGTACTACAAGGAGCCTGCCCTTCAGTAGATAATTCTGGTTTTGGGGGGTCCCCCCTCATATAGAAACCTCATACGGGCACATGGTTGCTTGAAAGTCAGATCTCTGCTTTGAGTAGGTTAGTTTGAATCACTTTCTCTGAATTTTAAAATAAATTGAAATATCTGAAGTATATAGAAAGCTAGAGATATAAAATAATAAATATTAGGGCCAGGTCGTTCATGTTTTTATTTTAAGAAATGAAACGTGATATATTTGAAGATGCTTATATTTTTCCTCAGGCTTCCCCCACCTACTCTCACTTAATTTTTTTTTTTAAGATTTTATTTATTTATCTTTAGAGGGGTAGGGAAGGAGAGAGGGAGAGAAACATCAATGTATGGTTGCCTTTCATGGGTCCCCTGCTGGGAACTGGCCTGCAACCCAGGCATGTGCCCTGACTGGGAATCGAACCGCGATTGTCTGGTTCGCAGGCCCATGCTCAATCCACTGAGCTACACCAGCCAGGGCTACTCTCACTTAATTTGGTGTTAATTATTGTGAACATTTCTATTATGTAAGTTTGTATCCACAACAATTAATAATATAGTTTTGTGTGATTTATAAAGTACCAAAGAATATAATTTTTGTATGAAGTATAAAGGGCAAAAAGAACATGAATCTGCATGTACCCTTCATTCAGCTAGGAAACTACATGTAGTACTTATTTACTTTTTAAAGATTTTATTTACCTGGCTGGTGTAGCTCAGGGGATTGAGTGCAGGCCTGCAGACCAGAGGGTCGTGGTTCGATTCCCAGTCAGGGCACATGCCTGGGTTGCAGGCCGGTTCCCTGCAGGCCAGTTCCCAGCAGGGGACACACTAGGGGCAACCATACATTGATGTTTCTCTCCCTCTCTCCTTCCCTTCCCCTCTAAAGATAAATAATAAATAAATAATAAAATAATAAATAGTTTATTCTAAAATAATAATACATTAATAAAATCTTTTAAAATAAAAATAATAAAGATTTTATTTACTTTTATTTTTGGAGAGGGGAAGGGAGGAAGAAAGAGAGGGAGAGAAACATCAGCATGTGGTTGTGTCTCGCGTGTTCCCCAACGGGGACCTTGCCTGCAACCCAGGCATTTGTCCCAACTGGAAATCGAACTGGTGACCCTTTGGTTCCCAAGCCAGCACTCAGTCTGCTGAGCCACACCATCCAGGGATGGAAAGTGCATTTTAAAAAAATATATAGAAATAAATTTACTGTTGTGCTTTATTTTTCTCAACATTGTTTTGAAATTTATCCATGTTAATATGTCTGTTTTAATACATTTCTTTTTATAATAACTACTGTATAATATTATCTTGTATGAGTAGATCACAGTCTGTCCATTCAGCTGCTGAACATTTAAAGTGTTTTTAGTTTCGACTTTCTATGATAGTAAGTGAGGTTGAATGGCTTTCATATGTTTGTTGGCCATTTGGTTTTTTCTTTTCTGTGAGCATCTTATTCAAATCTCTGCTTATTTTTCTGTTAGCATATCTGCCCTTTTCTTAGTGATTTGAAGAATTCTTTATATACCGGGCACTGATTCTTTTTCAGTTAGTATATATATCACAAATGGCTTTGTCCAGTCTGTTCTTTTCCTTTCCACTTTATTTATGGTATGTTTTGTATAGATACTTTAAATTTTAATGTAGCTAATTTTTCAAGATTCAATTTTGTGCCGTACCTAAAGAAAACATTTTACAGAAGTATGTTTTCTTTCATCTACATATTCGAACATGTACTATATGCAATTGGTCATTTTTTTCAAATTTGTATTTGTTCTAGAAAATCAGTAAACACAAAAATGAGGAAACTGATGGAGTTTTCACCAAGGAATTGTTACATTCAGTTCGTCCCGAGTCACCTACCCTCAAAACCTCGCTGTGTTTTAAGGAGCAAACTGTGCTGCCTGTGAATGATACTCTTCGAACTATAGAGGGCAGCAACCCTGCGGACAACCGTTACAGTGAATACTCCGAGGAGTTTTCCAAATCCAAACCTGCTGTGGTCAGCTTAGAGTACGGCGTGGCACGAATGACTTGTTAGACTCGTAGTGTTTTCTGGACTAACTGTAGTGCAGGAAATGGTTTATTGTGAGGGTGATCTGTGTGCATGACCAAAAGGAATTTGTCTAATAATTCTCTTAGAGTCTAACAGTAGGTTAATAGTTGAAAGAAGGATAATGACTGCTCTTGTGAGAGAACCAAGTCAGTGTAACTGCATTTCTAACAAGGAATGACTTTCAGTTAAGAAACAAGTGATACTGGCAAATGTACTCAAAACACAATTTGCATTGTATACTAGCAAATTGACATTTCTGTATGTTTTATATGTTAATTATAGCCAAACAGGAATGGCCTTACATAAGTATAATTTAATCACCAGTAAACAAAACTCAACAAGGCAATCCCTTAATAGATATGGCAAGTTCTTTCGATTATGTAACCACGTAACTATGAATATTTACATATTTTACTTGTTAGTGATGTTTAACATCGAAGTGCCATGAAAAATATTTCTAATAAAGACTTTAAAATCTCAGTTTATTCTTTACTCTTAGGTTTTGTAGCCTAGAGCAGGGTTTTCTGTTTGGTTTTCCTTGGTCGGCCTAGTTCTGTCTGTGTGGATCGCGCTCTCGTCACTGCAGGCTTCGCGTGTGACGGTGCTCCGGTGCGGAGGCGCACTGTTAAGTCCGTATGTAGCTCATCTCACTGCCACACTCAGAAGTAGTGCAACTGCAGTTTTTATTCTGATTACAGTTTGCTTAGTACTACATTTGATGGCTTACTATTTATAACATAGGTTATTGATTTTTTTTAATATTAAGGACATTTGACTGCCTTTTATGTATAGATTACTGCACTGTTGATTCTTATTTTGTGGTTGGCTTTATTCCTTTGATAATTATGTAATTAAAAGAAATCTAAAGTTCTAAAACTGTTCTTAGAACATGAATAATACATATGTATTTTTAAACTGTTTTATCTCTCAATGAGTTACTATTCTTTCTAGACTATTTCACTTTCAGTTTACCCAAACATTTTTGGGTAAGAACAAAAATGAAATACAGGTAGATATATTTGCTTGGTTATCTGAATCTTAAGGCACTCATTTCTATATGGAGTATTATTTTCTGCTAATATATAAGAAAAGAAGGAAAATGAAGGATAGCCTAATACAAAGTGAATGTTTAACAAACCAACTTAAATGCTGGGAAGAGTTTCATTTTGCCATGTAACTTATTCTGTGTACTGACACATATCTTTAAATTACAAGAGAAAAAGCATCTGTATTGTAGCCAATGGCCTGGCCTGCTGGGCTGGGGCAGCCCGCATTCACACAGGACCTGGGTGCCTGAGGTCAGGACTACCGGAGCCAGCTGGCTTTAAAATTGAAATTTTAAGTGATATAATTAAAGTGTACCAGGCATAATTAAAGGGTACAAGGAGATTGCAAAGGACCCCTCATGCTTCTCTTTATTATGCCTATATCTGTTACTAGTTTTAGACATATATTTTTTCAAGTGGGAAAAGAACTTTATTGTATGACAGCTTATCTAATCCGGTTTAGTTTTCCAGTGCCTTTCTATAACAGATTATGTTGATTGGAAAAATACTCCTTTTCAAAGAGCAATAGAAATGTACTCTGTATAAAACATTATTTGTGGTATTGAAGCACTGGGACAGGAAGCTTAACCTTTGTGACCACAGCGGGAAAGTGTTTGTGCTTTGTTACTGGGTTCCAGCACTGACTGTGGCTTTCAGATCTTCCGTGGAAGATTTCTTATAGTCAGCTCTTTGGTTTGTCATCTTCTAATCTTCAGTTGAGGCACATATGTGTGTGTTTATCTGCTCTCATGTGGACTGAAAAATCAGTTAACACCCTAAGTGACCCATAGGGTATGTGTTGGCAAAAAGCAGATTGTGTGTCTCATAAAATTGGATTTATGTTCAACGTGTTTGGGAATATATAGCATGTAAATTATTTCATATATTATTTAAAGGTAATTAAATGTTCATGTTTTACTTCAAATGTTTTGCTTTGGGAAAAAAAATTGGATCAAGTTATAGTCGTTTTTTTCCATCACTTAGGCAGATGGACCTGCAACCTACACTAATTGTAACAATGTCAAGTTTAAGCAGTTTATCTGCCAAAAGACAGGTTTTGGTAATTAATAACCATTATGTACAAAAAATAATTTCCAAAATATTTAAACTAGGAATAGTGGACTAAAAGGTTCAGCAGATATAGCTGATCATGTCATTAAATTTTTCCTTTGTGCTCGTCACTTCCTGTTATAATCAGTAACAATTTGCTCTTACCAACTTGTTAATGGAAGGAGGCATCCAATGAGTATGTACATTCAAGGTGAAACGTCTCTTCAAAGACAGATCTGGATTTAAACATGAGGAGGAAAATGATTGGCAGAGAAGAATGAGTATTCATTTTATTTGGGGGTGTTTTGAGCAGGTTAGTGAGGCTAGAAATAGCTCGGGGAGTCTTGACTAAATAAAGAAGAAAAGAAGCTCTCCCCAAATCTCTTTATTTGGTGGGGTAGCAGGACAGGATGGTAGTATCAGGATAGACTCTTTATTTTTTAAATTTTAGATTTTAGAGCACCGATTTAGAGCAGTTTTGGATTCACAGCAAAATTGAAAGTGCAGAGATTTCCCATATACCTCTACATTCATAGCTTTCTCCATTATCAACACCCCCCACCACAGTGGTACATTTGTTACAATTGGTGAGCCTACATTGATGTGCAGAGTCACCCAGAGTCCACAGTTTAGGTTTCTCTTTAGGTATATATTCCGTAGGTTTAGACAAATGTATAATGACCTTTAAGAGTACCATGGAGAGTATTTTCACTTCCCTAAAAATCTAATGTGCTCTCATTCCTCTTCCTCCCCTCAACTCCTGGCAACCACTGATCTTCTTACTGTCTGTATAGTTTTACCATTTCCAGAATGTCATATGGTTGGAATCATATGAAGGGGGACCACAAAAAACCCCAGAATTTATTTATAAAAAGTTGTGTATTTATTTTTACATGTTTGAACTTTAGTCACCTTCAAAGTACTCTCCATTTGATGCAGTGCACCTATCGAGATATTTTTTTCCCATGGCTCAAAACAGGTTTTGAACTTGTCCATTTTGATGCCTTTTAGTAACTTCTACGATTTTTTGTTTCACCTCTTCCACATCAGCAAAATGTTTCCCTTTGAGGACTTTCTTCATCCAGGGAAACAAAGTTGTATTGGGTGAGATCAGTGACTAGGGAGGGTGGGGCACAGGGGTCATGCCACTTTTGGTCAGAAACTGCTGAACACTCAGCATGGTGTGGACAGATGCACTTGTAAATCACCCATCAGGAAATGGGCAAATCTATTGAAAGAGTCTTCAAAAATAATTCACTGAAGCTGAACACAGCCTCTCACAACGATGCCAGCCAGTACACTGGTACAGATGGGTTCCTAGAACACACCCAGCAAGGGAAGCCTGTGCTACAAGTGGCCTGTCCTCCAGAATATAATTCTGTGGGGTTTTTTGCTCCCCCCTTGTACAGTATATAGCTTTTCAGATTAGCTTTTTTTCACTTAGTAATATGCATTTAAGTTTCCTTGTGTTTTATCATGGCTTGATGGCTCTTTTTTTTGTTGTTAGCATTGCACAATCTTCCATTTTCTGATGTACCAGAGATTATTTGTGCATTCACCCACTGAAGGACATCTTGGTTTTTTCCAAGTTGTAGCAGTTATGAATAAAGCTGCCATAAACATCCATGTGCAGGTTTTTGTGTGGACAGAAGTTTTCAGCCCCTTTGGGTAAATATCAAGGAGCATGATGCTGGATTGTATGGTAACAGTATGTTTCAATTTTGTAAGAGGCCACTAAACTGTCCTCCATAGTAGCTGCACCATTTGCATCCCCAGCAGCGTGAATAGAGTTCTGCTGCTCCACATCCTCACCAGTGTTTGGTGTGGTCAGTGTTCTGGATCTTGTCCGTTCAAATAGGTGTGTAACTAGCCTAGCCTTTTTTGACTTTTTTTTTTTCAGAAAGTCTACTTTAAAATACTAAAAAAACTTCCAGCTGGCATTCTAAGTTGGATAAGATGCTGATTGTCTGCAAAACGATTAGAGCAGTTGCAGACTTTTATCAATGACTGATCCATTTTCATTACCCAAGTTTTGGCTATTTCGTTGGCTTTTCCATGTAGTAGTCCAGTTGGCATTAGCATGTCTCAATTGATTAAAATAAAATGTGGAACCTATATTTTAAAATATACAACTAAACCTTAGGAATCTCTATCTACAAAAAGACAGCTTGTAATAAAAATCAATTGATTATTTAAAAAAAATGTATACTATTGTACTTGTTGCCTTGTAAGAAAATAAACACTAATTTCTGCCATTTTATAAACTGCTACTCTCGTTATTTCTAGGCAAATAAAATATCCTTTTGTACAGCAAATTTATAAAATAGTGGAATTATAATAAAGCAACTTTCAGAAACTAGCTACTTAGTAGTAGACTCTTTAAGCCTTGTCTTTGAGTTTCTGGTTCAGCAAGTATGGGTTAGGACTCTGGAGTTAAAGGCATTTGCCTAGGTAGCAATTAAGTGTTTGCATTAAATAGTATTTTTGGAGATTGATACAAAATGGTATGGGAATCACACTCAGAAACATTGCCCTAAACCACCATTATCATTAAGAATCTCTCTTGCTCTTAAAGGAAACAGAATTACTCTAGAACAAAGCAATAGATTGGGGAGCATAAGACTTCTGAAACTTGCTAAACAAGTGAGAGGGAGAAATAATCCTTTGTTCCAAGCCACTGAGAATTTGGGCTCTTTGTTACTGCAGCATAACCTGTCTATCCTGAATGACTAGCTCACCTGAGGCATTAATACTTCTCCAATTTCAACTAAAGTCCAGTCCCTTATTGTCTCAAATGGCCTTTGACTTGTATTTTTGCATTCCTTTCCAGTTTGGATTCATGCATTGCATTGGATCACAGCTCTTTTGTCATCTTGAACAGTCCCCTCATCTTTACCTGTTTGCCTTGACTGTTTGAACCAGACCAGTTGTACAGCATTATCCCACTTTCTGCATTCATCTGATTATTATCTCATTTCTCTATTTTACCTCCTAAAAGTAGGCACTAGATGAGGTTCAGATTAAGCAGTTTGGGAAACATGCTGTGTACTTCATATAGAGTTACTTAGAAGGGTGTGATGTCAAGCTTTTTTTCTGCTGTTCGATGCCAGATTTGATCACTTGGTTGATCTCTCCAATGTAAAGGTACATTTTTCCTCCTTTGCACTTAGCAAATTCTCTGCAGGATGGTATTTTGTCATCAACATGAATACCCCATTCCCTAACTACCCATCCACTGATGATATATACCTGAATCAGTTTTTCAACTGGGTGTTCCAAAATGGTGATTTCTCTACTTTTGTCTTCCTTTTTACATTTATTAGCTTGCATTCTTTAAAGAAGTGCTTTTACTCATCAACTGGGAAAATTTCTCTGAAAATAGGCAGGGCAAATTCTTAATTCTTCCCCTTTAGTGACTAATTTTCAGAGTAAGGAGTTGTGAAGTAGTCACCTCTCTCTTTTCCAGGAATGTGGAGTTTTTATAATTGATTATAGTAAATGGTGGGGTTTGGGAGGGTTTTTTGTTGTTTGTTTTTTTCTTAAGTTTTTCCAAACCTAGCTGGGGAAGGGGGGGGCTTTAAGTTCCTTCCATATCCTTTTGACACGCACCTTACAGTTTTGAGCTTGCTTTTGATTTCTGACACAAGGAACTGCTGTAGGCTCATCTTGTACATTACATACCCCAGTTTTGGAATTAGCCATTTCTCCAAGGAACTTTTGTTTCTGTTACTGAGGAATAATATTTAGAAACCAGACTCTAGACATTAGATGTGCTCATTGCTACCAAAATGTGATTGCTTCTAGACCCTTTCAGTGAGCAGAGCTAGGAAGTATATTTTTAAGACTCAGGAGACTCAACAATATTAACTCAAAATAGTACCATAGTGTTTTCTTTTTTATGTGTATCTCTTTTTCTCTTACACTGAAAATCCTGGTTCCTTTTTTAAATTATTGATTTTAGAGAGAGAGCGGGATGAAGACAGAAACAGAGAAAGGAAGAGAGATAGAAAAACATCGATTTGTTGTTTGACCTATCTATGCACTTATTTGTTGAATACATCTTGTGTGTGCCCTGACCGGGGATTGAACCCACAACCTTAAATTAGGGAAATCCCTCTAACCAACTAAGCTACCTGTCCAGGGCAGAAAATCCTGGTTTCTAATAACATAACTATATTAATGTTTTCTCTTTATTGTACAATGTGCAAAATTTACTTTAAAAATTACAACCAATGTTACTACTAATAGAAATACTGAGTAAAACTTGGGATTTCTTAGCTGTTCTCATTCTTATGCATATCCTACCAAAGGTATAAGAGTACTGTATTCAAATTACTTGAAATAATTTTTTTGCTTACAATACTAATTTCATATATAGCTAATATACATTGCTTTCAATTTTAGGATTTGCTTACATATTTCCTTGTGATTTAGTGGATTTTTAAATAGGTAGAACAGTTACTTAGTTCAAAATTCAACTTCTGGAAACAGGTATATGCAGAAGCCTTGCTTTGATTCCTTTCGTTTTCATGCTTCGTAGCCATTTGTATGAGTTTTACATAGTATACACATATACACAGTATACACAGTATATGAGAATATAGTAGTATTCACATTAGTATACACATAGACATATATTTTTTAACCCTCACCTGAGATATATTTATTTGATACTTCAGAGAGGAAAGGAGAGAGAAAGAGATGCGAGAGAGAAACACTGATCAGTTGCCTCCTGTATGCATCTTGACTGTGGATCAAATCCACAACCCAGGTATGGTCCATGACAGGAGAATTGAACCTGCAGCCTTTTGGTGCACCAGACAGTGCTCCAACCAAATTAGCCACCTGGCCAGGGCTTTATACATATATGTATTTATTTCTTTTTTTTTTTTTAAAGATTTTATTTATTCATCTTTAGAGGGGAAGGGAAGGAGAGAGGGAGAGAAACATCAATGTATGGTTGCCTTTTGTGTGTCCCCTGCTGGGAACTGGCCTGCAGGGAACCAGTCTGCAACCCAGGCATGTGCCCTGACTGGGAATCGAACCGCGATTGTCTGGTTCGCAGGCCCGCGCTCAATCCACTAAGCTACACCAGCCAGGGCCCATATATGTATTTCTTTTTCGTTGAACAAAAGATATGCTGTGTATACTGTTCTATATCTTTTTTTTTTTTCACTTACCAGTGAATTTTGGTGATTATATCGGCACAGATAAAGCTTGCTTATTCCTTGTTAATGGCTCTTGAGACTCCATTGCGCAGATTTTATTAAACTAGTTAACTACTTTCCTATTTTTAAACTTTTTATTATGCAAATATCCAAATGTTTAAAAGTGAGAATAGTGTAATGATCCTTCGTATATTCACCTAGAGTCAATTATTATTAATGATACTTTGCTAATTACATTTAATTGATACTCCCCTTTTTTGTTGTTGGG